TTTGAGAGAGAGCCACCATAAACTACTGTTGGGACACAGAAGGAACATACCATCGCTTTGTGTCTCTTCATTGCCTGTCTGATGCTCCCTGTTTTAGACAAGCTACATATGGCTCCGTGACCCTACTAAGGCTTGGAATACTTCCCTAAACACATGACAAAACAAGTGAGACAGTAACAATGAAAGAGAAATGGAGCGTGAAGGAGACATGATATAAAAAAAATGTCAGAGTGGGAGAGAAATGAAAGATGAAAGCAGAAACAATTAATTAAAGAAATTAGGAGATATACTCAGAGCAAGGAGAGAAAATGAATGAAGAGAAATGAACAAAGAATAGACCCGAGTTCCTTTACTTTGAGATAAGGTTGAGTTAGCTGTGGGCTTGGAGTTTTTAAGGGGTGTCTTGCCATTGACTTCATTAGGAGCAGGATTAAACACAATAGGCCTTCTTCATGTATCATATTATACTCCCTAGCCCAGGAAGAAGTCCTCCTTGGACAGGGTTCATATCTTTTTCTTCTTCTGGGCTACAAACAATGGTTTATCAGGAGACTGTTTTCTTTTTATCATGATGAATTATGTCAATAATTAAAATGTTATTATTTTAATTTAAAAGTTCCTATTGTGTAAATACACACAAAAGGGATATGAGTCCAGCTACGAACAAGCATTCAATTCCAGCACTGCAAAGTTCAGAGTGTTTGCAGCACTGGAAAACATGCTCAGAAAAGATGTGAACAAGCTGCTGTCCTCTAGCTGGAGAACAACAAAGTCACCTCAAAGGTGAGCTCTGCATCCAAGCACAATAGAGGTTACTCCTTTGATACCCGCCCCAGACAAGCTATCTCTAGCTGATACCATGTGGGCATCGGCTGGAGATAACTGCATTACCTCTGCTTCCTGCCCCTTGCACAGACCAGGGCCACTCCCACCTATGCAGGGGATTAGGCAGCAAAAACAGTGCAGCCAAATCCATCCCAGTATGGGTCCAGCTGTGGGAGAATCCCCCCACTCCACCTTACACACATCTCTGGAGTTGTGCATGGAGTGAAAGGCAGCAACAGCTCAAGCCATCCCAGTCTGGGACATATCCAGCTAAGGAACACCCCTGCCCCTTGCCCTGTGGTCATCCAGAGCTCTACACAGGGCAAGAGGCAGATGTACCTGCAGCTGGAACCATCCTAGACCCAAAGGACAGCTCTAGCTGTGGGAGAATGTCCCCCTCCCATCCCTCCAATCAAGTGCTGGGGGTATTCCCCTGTAGATGATCACTGAAGCTACAGGGGAGTATCTCCCCCAGCCATTGCAGAGATCCAGGGTGACCCAGGTTTCCTAATATGGGGGGGGGGGGGGGGGGGGGGGGGACCCTGCAGCAGCAGGGTCCGTCCATCCCCCCACCCCCCAAGCTCTCTTACAGCTTGTCCTATTAGGAAGCCGGTGCTCTCCTTCCCTCCCCCTTGAAAGAAGGAAAGGAGAACAGAGAACTGTGGGATATTGGGTATATATCCCAGTTTCAAAAGAAGCACACATCTATTCAAGCTGGTGGAAGAAAAGGGACCAGTCAGCTAGGTGCCTTTTTTCTCCGGAAGAACCATTTCTCTTCCACATAAAGGCATCTTTCCTGACACAAATGTAGTGCTTGTCCATAGCCCTACTCTTCCCCTTCCCAATAATTCAAGGAAAAATACAGAAACTTCTCCTCACGACATCCTTGTTGTTTGCATGTATCAAAATATACAAATCTCATTTGCAAATTAATCAGATTCTTTATTCTTCCCAAACTGGGTTCCATTATATTTCATGCCTCCAATTGAAAACCATATGCTGGGTCTTCCCTTCTGATGTTTCAGAGGGGAATCAAAATCTATCCTTGCTACTAGCATCATTTCACATCTATAGATTCATATATCAGTGCAAATTCAGACTTTGCATTGATAGATGCATTGTAAGAACCAAGCTCCTTGTGTGTACAAGGGAATACTTCAGTATTTTCCCTGGTATCCTTTTCTCGCATGTTCTGTGCACTGTAAAGCTAACCATGTCAACATTATCTTGGGTGGTATGAACTGCTTAAAAGTAAAGCACTTAGGGTGCAGACAGAAGTGCAGCTGCCCACTGTAACTGAGAATGTTTTGTAGGAAGTGTTCTGAGTTACAACAATCCCCCAGAACAGACAGATGTTCACTGTTGGGGGTGGGGGGGAAGGAATCTAGCTGCTGGCTGCAGCCTACAGCTGGTTTCCCCTAGCAATGGCCTCTCCCGTCTCCCAGCCTGTTCCTGTTTCAGAATGGGGGGAAGAAAGCTCAGGTTGAAGCGTTCCCCAGCCAGCACTGGAGGGTGAGGTGGGTGAATTAGAGCCCCCTCACCTCGGCAGGGCTCCAATACATCCACCCCACCCTCCAGCAGCAGCTGAAAAAACTCCAGACCAAACTCCCTTTGCTCCCTTTCCTCCCTCCCATTCTGAAAACAGCAACAAGCTGGGAGGCAGCACAGACAGAAGTTACAGAAGACTCTCTGTTTTGAAGTGTCTTCATCTGACCCCCTCACGCAATGAGGATTCAGATTTTTGCCCAATCAGACATTTTTGAAGTGATCTGCAGCTGTGCACTTGTGTTTGGTCATGGCTATAGACTGCTTTCTGTGGCCAGATTGAGCAAAATTGTCACTTCTCTTTGTGCCCTGTGATGCACAATTGAATGAAAATGAGTGACCAATGGGATTGTTCTGATGTCACTGGTGCCCTGGTGTCTTTGAAAAATGCCAAGAGCAGCATGATCCACAAAGGAAATTAGATGCCCAAGTCCAAAATTTAGATTTACAAAACTGGCACCTAACCTGTATGATTAAGACCTATGTCTTTAAAATGAACATTCCCTGGGAACCTAAAATGTCTACCTCTCGACATGCCTAGGATAGCCTCAGCAGTGGTGTAACTACAAGTATGTGCAATAGCCCTGAGCACAGATTTAGAGAAAGCACCAGAATGGCAGCCCCCAGGGAGCCTGTGCCTTTAGGTCTGCTGCAGCCATCTTACAGGGAACCCATCTTATCCAAAACCCCAAGCCCAAACCACAGCAGCAGCAGCAGTCCCCAGAGTGTGGCAAGCCCATACTATGGTAGGTAAGACTCTCCACAGCCCTCCACCCCACTCTCCAGTGCTCAGCACTGTTCTCCCCATTTCATCATAATAGTTAGCTACACATCTGTGCCTCAGTTTTGACAGTGCAGAGCAGGTCAATGTCCATCTCAAACCTAAGCCCCAGCAGGATTCCTCCATCTATATCATCTGCAGGGCTTAATTCACTAGGCATTGTCAATGCATCTCAAATGGAACTGGCTCCGCATAAAATAGCTAGTGGAGATGACAGGATAGCACCCCTCTCCTACCTAACAGCTCAGTGGGTTCAGTTCTCACCTCAGAGTCTGGATCTGGAAAGAATCTGAACCCACATCTCCCAGGAGAGTGTCTTAAATGGAGCCAGAACAGCAGCCAATGACTCTATGATGTCAAATGCATAAAGAGTCCCAGAAGCAAGGACCTGAACCCTGTACTCCTCTGTTTTGTCTCAACTATTAGGCCAGTGGTTCTCATCCTTTCAAGACCCAAGGCACCCCTTGGAAAATGCCAACTCTTAGGGGTTTTTTACTATAGAAAAATAGAGCAATTCTTCTGTTGCAATGAACTCAGGAAGAGCACAACAGGTCAGAATGCTTTTAATGCCATGGATTCCTATTTGAAATCTCTGGATTTATCTTGTGAATCATGTTTGCACACCTAACAGTGCTAACATTGTGTGGTACCCTGTGCCACCCTCAAAAGGATCTTGTGGCACCCTGGTTGAGAATCATTGTACTAGGTTATAGATTTAGACTCTCTCTTGCTTCCCATTGTCGTGGTTCCATAACTGCCACTCCTAGGTGCCCAGTGTCCTGTCTTAAATAGGAGGGGTGGAGATGTGATCACCCAACCTATTCTAGAACCTAGCAGTTATGGTACTTTCCTAGGACGTAGGAGAGGAAGATTTAAATCCCCTCAGGCTAAGGAGGGCCTAGAGTGCGGAGATGGATCTCCCACTTCCTGAGGAAATACTATAACCAGTAAACTACTTAGCAAAAAGGTGTGTAGCACTACCAGTTAGCTAAGTGCCTGTCTCTAGAGAGGAGAGACTAGGTACAGCGGGTCACTTGCAAACAGAGAAGCTTAATGTGCAGCAGAAGTCAGGAGTTTAAGCTCTGGAAAAGAGTGGGAACATACTCCTGTGCTTTGCATTTCCTACTGGCTATTTAGATGCCCCAGGTCTTTCTGAGTCACCCTTTGGAAGCACCTACCTCTCCCCCACTTCTCTGCAGAGTGCACCTACGCTCAAGCAAACTGGATCACTTCCTGGAGGAACCACTATGGACTGTATAGGGATCCTATGCACCTAAACCTGGCTATGTTGAATCACCCCGCTGGATTGAGGCATCTGGATTTTAGGTATCCAAGATGTAGTCTGCACTGGATGTAGCCCTAATCTGTTTGTGGATCCAGCCCCAAGTCCCATGGATTTTAATGGGAGTTGGGTTTCTAAATACCTTAAGGATCTGGGCCAGGGCATTTGCTGAATAGGATTGGGTTTAAGCACAGTTAAACCAGAAGTAGGGCCTTGTGTCCTAAATGGAGGGAAGGAAGAAAGGAAAAATAAGTGATACGAGAACTATAAATTGCTGATAAATAAAATAGCCTGATTTAATTGCTGTTTGTGCTAAAGAAGAATGTGGAGAGAGATGAAAGTTTCAAACCCCTTCTGCTGCAAAGACAAGCATGACGGACAGAGGATCATTTGTATCATTCACAAGTCTCTCTCACAAAAACCTTTAATTGTGAATACCAGTCACTGAAATTCAAATACTCTCAGAGGATAATGAAAATACTTTTTTCTGCTACCAAGTATAATGAGATACTGAGAATTTTTCCTTAGCATAGGTTCAGTTTAACCAGTAACACATAGAAAGTTTACCTTTTGGACAATAGACATCTGGAGCCCACCGGTTGCATTCATAATTGTCCACTGCTTTTTCACAGGTGAAACATTTAAATCCACCAGGATATGGGGTGGCTGAAAAATATGAATAAAATTTAGTTAAACTGATTCGCATTTAGACAGTCTGTACCATGCTAATGTTGATTTTCCTATCCCCAGAGGTGTAGCAGGGCAGCACTGTGCCTGGGGCAGCTGTATATAGGCAGCACCGGCTGCCACGCTGCTGCTGGCAAGAGTGCAGTCAAACACCGCTGCAGCAATAGATATTTTTGTCCCCCTCTAAGGGTACTGCCCAGAGATGCTGTCCCAGTCTCTGTGCCCCTCAGTTACACTACTGTCCATATACCCTACCTTATAATACACATTGCTAGAAATGCAACCATTAACGTCATTATAAATATTGTACTGGATTCTGTCAGTAGCATTAGCAATACAAGAAACTTGGGACGCATACTGTTTACCTCAAGTAGAATTGGCCTGACCAAGAAGTACCAGCACAATGACTGCACTTGTTCATTCTCTGAACACAGTATTATTTCACAGCTACCGCCAATAATGTTTTGTGGTCAGCACTAACATCAAGTTGATTAAATACCTCTGCACTGAAAAAATAAACTAACACGTTTGGGTATTGATATTCTAAATAGTAAGAAAAATATCAATTTGCTGAACTTCCATTGCCAACAGTATACTTATCTCCAAGTTACCTAACCAAGGGTGGAACTTAGGTCTTAAATGTTCTCTTGACAAAACATCTGTAATACAGTCTAAATTAAACATATTAAATAGATTTACTAAATTGTTACAATTTTTAACAATAATAACAAAAACAGTGTCAAATTTACCCCATTGGAATAAACTACAGGTATTGTGTGGCATAATAAAACAGAGACAATGGAGATTAACTTCACTCCATTTTGTATCAGGCAACCGGCAGCCTGTCACATTCAGTGCAATACCTCTACAGCCATTGGACTAACAGCCACTGTATCCCCTTAACAGCTTTATGCGATTATTAAATCAGCATCCAGTGGCCACCCCCTCTTCTTTCCAAAAGCCAGTCTTCCCAAAAGAAAAAGTTTATTTAGTGTAGGTGACTTTCACTAGACCCTTAATGGCCTGGGTATGTTTCAAAAGCTACATCAACTTTGGAAAATTTTACTTACCAATTTACTAAAATGAGAAGCTTTTTTAATGGGTACGTAAAATATTGTTCACTTTTTCATTATTTTCACCATCTTTTGAAGAGTGGCTGTGTGGATTTTATGCTTGAACTGGAATGTTTTCCAGACAGTTCTGCAAGGCTGAGCTCTGCAAAGGTTGAGGACAGCTGTTTGTTTAATTAGCAGATTTAGGAAAATCAGGTATTTTACCAGGACCTTTAGGTCTGAAAATGCTTTGTTATGTAACCATCATATTTAACAAAATCAACTGACCAGAAGATGTCATAAAAATTAATACATAAACCTCTCCAACTTGTTTTAGCAGGTATGAAAAAACAACACAAGTCTGCCTCTGAAAGTGAGAGCTGGTTACATGTTGTCAAAAGGTACAAATCAAAGAAATTAGGTAATTCAGAGCCTCCTTTTCTTAGGGGCTGTCCTCTTCTCTTCCAAAGCCTGCAGCCCAAAATATACATGGGTCTCTTTCTTCTTTTGGATAATAAAAAAGGAAATGGCCTTTCCAGATATTAAAAGGCAGAAAGATTTCTCTGAGGGAAAAAAAATTCCAGGCGTAAGTATGAACGTTTGTGCATTTGTGTAAATATTGCCTCATATAAATTAAGGGATAACACCACATCTGAGAAAATGGTAAAACAGAAAAGGAGAGAATGTGGAGGTCCCTATGATGTGTGGTATTTTCTTCCTTATTACTTTGAAGAGGTACTGGAGTAAAACAAAGTTTCAAACAGTTGTTGCAACAGCGATAAGGAACTCTCATTTGGCTCTTGATCACAGGAGATAATAAGTTTGCTAGACTGCACTTTGGGCCATAAGACCTCCAATCCCTCAGAGGGACATTCCAAAGAAAAGGCAACTTCACAGTGAGTTCCTGTAATGATATTTAGTCAGCAATGGTTCACGTTGAATGACCTCATTAGGAAGATTACTGTGGACAGTTAATCTTTTTCAGCATACACCTAAAGACATTTTTCAGACAAAGATGTTTGTTGTAGACAATCATGTTTTGCTTCATTCCAGGCCCAGCTGAAAACTGAGGAGGTCCCCATGCATGAAAACTGGGTTAAAATTGCGACTCAAAATGAAATATTATAAGATTCCATTTATGAGAGAATTCAGAAAGATGCCACTAGGTGAAAAAGTAAGTTAAAACTGGAACAGAGAGCTGGCAAAAAGAAAAACAAATCTAGGAAGACAAAAACTAACAAGTGTGTGTACATGTGCACATGCACATGCACGCGTGTATATGCAGTACATTACAATGCTATCTTAATAAAGTATCTTCAGTGCTCAGTTATTTAGCCTTTACACATATTTGTGAGCACTAACTCAAATGAACGATCAAACGGATTAAGTGCACCAAAATGAATCAGACATGGACAAATGAGCACTGAACAACATATCCTCAAATGCCAGTTAAATTTTTTGTCATCCCTTAATGAGCTTGTTGATACATTTTCTTTTTAAACTGTAATGATTATTTTTGGTTGAAAAATGGACTTATTTAAAAGAAACCTTAAAGTACCTGGGCTTTCCCCACAGTATAGGTATCCCTTTGGCTAGAAAGATACTGGATAAAATCTACCCCTGCTGTAAAATTGACACAGCTCCACTGACTTCATTGGGCCTTTGCCAATTTATCTGAGCTGCCTTGCTCTTCAGGGAAAAAGAAAAAAAACCAACCCAGATGTTAATGACATGGAGAAAAGGACCACGGTCAAACGAGTTCCAAAACACATGAAAGGATTTCATAAAATCTTGAATGCACGGGCACCATCCAGCAAGCTTAATCAGACACGCAGTGTAAGTCTCAGGAAACCAATCAACAGGAAACCAAACGAACCATCCTTGTGTACCAGGATGCAGGGTATGCAGCTTTGTTGCTGGTTTCAGTTTGACTTGGTCCATGGTGACCACTAGAACCTGGTTTAAGAAGACAAGTTTCTTTTATACAGGCCAATAAACAGGAGCTGCTGTGCAGGCGTGTACCCCCTCTCCCCCTCAAATCAGCAGCTGGACTGGTGTTGTCATGGTCCACAGCAGCATCATGTCTAGTGGGTAGGGCTGGGGGTGGATCAGGTGTTGCAGACATAAGCTGTGGTTTGGAGCAACAGAGGACAAATTCAAGTTACACACCAGGGGATCAGAAGCCAGAAGTCAAAGGCCAAGCGCCAAGCCAGAGGAATAACCAGGATCAGGGTTCAGGAAGCAAGCTGTGGTCAAGCCAAAGGCCAAACACTGAGCCAGGGGATTTACTGGATCGGTGGTCAGGAAGCAAGCCACAGTCAATCCAGAGTTCAAACACTGAGCCAGAGGGTTCACCAGAATCAGAGGCTAGGGGGCTTGCTGAGGCCAAACCAGAGTCCATAGTTTGAAGGGTTGGGTACATAGTCAGAGGTACTGGGGCAGGAATGAGGGAAGTCACAGAGACAGGAGCTACTCAAGGACTGAAGCCAGTACATTCCCTCCTAAAACCACTGCTGCAAAGACACACAGGCCTGTGTGGAAGAAACCAGTCATCTTAATCCAGTCCCTAGTGAACCACGTCATCACGGAAAGAAAATGTATCACACCCATTCTGAAGTGCCGCTTCTGAAGTCATTAAGGGTTACATGATTCTTTCCATTGATTTTAGGCTTTGGATTAGGCCCTGAAGAAGATGACAAGCCAGTCTCTCCCTTAAATTGTTGAGGTATATTGGCAGAGCCACATTAGCTGCTGCCATCTTGTACCAGTTCTATGAGCAGAGGACATCAACCTCTGGAGAATATAAATCTCCAGGACTGTCAATCTGGCACTTTGCCCAAGTACCATGTACTGTAGTCTTATTCCAGTGAGTCTATTTAAAGACATAAATGCATGAGCAACCATGAGGGTCAAACATTTCTGCAAAAATACATGAGAAGTTTACAAGGAAGCAGCAACTAAAGCCAGAGATGTACTAACCTGTATTTGCCATCACATAACTGTCATGCCAATGGCTGCATTTTCCTTCACTTAGTTAGCACCAAAACCATCTCTCAGCCTTCATCTGAATCCCAAACTGACCAGGAGACACTGTTCTGAAACTAATATTATGGCCAGACAAACCAGTCACTGTGCATCAGCTGGTCCTCAGTAAATGCCCTCTTTCATTAGAGATTAAGCTGCCACAGATTATCGTCCATTTACTGCAGCATAAAACCATGCGCACAAGACATCACTGCATAGCAGCTGACAAGCAAGCAAGCCCTGTCCCCTTTTACCCTGCAATCACCTCTAAGGTATCCATAATCATGGGCCACAGGGGCTTCAGGCCCAGTAGGTATAGCTGGGGGGTGGAATTATCAATAGGTCTGTAAGTACATATGCATATACACATGATCATATGAACATATTTTTTCCTAGTTTTTTAAGTGCAGAGGCTCTTCTAAAAAAGATGCATTTCTCCTGTTTCAAACATTCAGGTAACAGAAACATCCAGTGCTGAGATTTTTCTTCCCCTATGTCTTGGCACAGTAACAGCCTATTGTAGGCATGCAAAACAAATCTTACTTGAAGGATGAAGATAGATAATGTCTTTCACTGTAAAGTCTCGAGGTTGAACAGCTTTCAGACAGTCAGCGATCAGGCTCAGTAGTAGGACCCAGGCCAGGGTAGGCTGGGGTTCCATTGCAGAGAGGCTTCACTCATGGGTTTCCTGGGAGGAAGGTCTCTTTAAAATTGGAAGGATAATGCACCTATAGTACAAAGATTAAAGAGAAAGAAGAGTGATCTTATTACAAGTACCATCTTCTAAGCCAATCCAAGGACCAGTCCCATCTCCTCACGTAGCCCAAATAACCATGCTGGCCCAGTGTTTCTTTTTACATAGAACCCTTCATCCAAATCAATCTCAAACACCTTTTTAAAATTTAAATCTTACTTGACTTTACAACCCTTACTAAATCAAAGTGAATCAGAAGAGCCTGAGAGCTTGGTGTGAAGAAACTAAAGAAAATTTCTTCCAGAGGACTGGAATGATGTGTATGCTATAACAATCTCCCCCAGAAATACCTGGGGTGAGGGAATATATTCAGAGAACTCTGCAAGACAGAACACCATTTCTGAGAAATGCTCCCCTCAAGCAAGAGATACCTGATGCCTCAGAGAGATGCAGGTGTGGTCTAGAAATCTCAAAAACCCACTTTTGCAGGAAACATAGGGCGTAAAGCACCTATTACTAGAAAAAATATCCTCTGCAATGCTTTCTAGATCTCTCCTCTATAGCAGCATGACTCCACTAGTATCCATGCTACCACTAGGCATGTCCACACTGCCTTCAGCCATACCCTGATACAGGTAGACACTGGCCGCACCTACACGAGACGTTGACACAGTCATTTAATACTTGCATAAACAAGTTACTGCGCAGTAGTGTTGCCAAAAGCCTTTTAGGTGACACTGACTGCATAGTAGCTTGTTACTACTGTGCAGCACCAGCACATCATGCTTCCCACCACATGATGCTACTGCAATCAGTTTCTTGTGTAGACGCATACACTAAGGAGGAGGAGTTAACATGAGTTTAAGTGCTGGGTGCTTGGAGGACCATGCTATGAAGAGTGCCCAATATCTGGCTCCATTCAATAGCTCTAAGAAGAACTCATCTAGGAAGAATTCACCTTCTTTTCCCACTATTCTCTCTGGCTGCATCCAGACGAGCATGGCTATGTGGTGTGCAGCGCTGCACACCCGTCCGCAGTGCCACACAGCACACATTCAGGCATTCCCTGCACTGTTACCTTGCAGCACAGGAGGGTTTTTGACCTATACAGCTCTACAGCTTTGGCATTCTTGTGCCCCAGACAGCCCTGACATTGCCTGATGCCACCACCCAGAGCTCGGGGCTGAAACCCCTGAGCCTGCTGCAAGCACGTCACATTAATTGCATGTGGGGATGCACCCTCTTTCATTCAACACAAACTACAACAGAGTTAATGAGAGAGGCAGGGGAGGCAGCCTTCAGAACAGAATCTGGATTAAATTTGGACTGAGGTTCAGGACTTCGGCTTGAGGCCAGAATAAGAGAGTTTGATTTTCTAGTCACAATGCAAGTCAGGAATAAAGACAGAATTAGAAGTCAGAACCTGGCTTGTAGTACCTATCTTAGAGCATACGGCCCAACCCAGAAGGTATTCAGGTGGGTAGAAAGTAAAACAGACTAAACTGCTTTTTTGGATACCAGATTTATCTCTACTATCCCTGTAGAAAAGGCAGAAGTCTTCTATTCAGATCTACCCACAAGCGTCAGATTTAGGCTCATCTAAAGGAAGTGCTTTGCTGCCATTGTAACTTAATCTATATTCAAACTATTGCACATTTATTTTGAATACTTTACTTTGTGGTATTCTGGCCACATATGTCTTTTACTTCATTAAGAGTAAAAAATAAATTTTAGTGCACTGTTCTTAGTTTACTTCTGTTTAAAATAGTTTGATAAGCAACATGTTAGTAGAACTCTGTAAATAGGGTCTGAGTTTCACCATGCATCACTTTTACTCTAGATATAGCTTGGTGTGAAGGAGATATTCACAAAGGCTATTTGCATGACAAATACACTATAAAACTGACAGTGGAAGAGATCTTCTTTACTCTTGTAACTCTAGCTGAGTTTTCCAGTGCCCCACTTTTTAATGAAGGAAACAGGATGGGTGAGGCTGTTTTTATATTCATGCAGCTTTGCATTTCTTCACAGCATAATAAGAGTTTGCTGTTCTGATCTAATGGCATAGTATCTGTAAGTGCAGTGCATGTGTTGTGAACCAGATAATAAGGATTAATGGCTGGTTTCTGAACACTCATTTCAATAATGAGATTCCTTCTCTACTGCATGATTTTTCCTGCAGTTCACATACCTTAGGAAATGTGTTTAAGCCCAGCAAGGCAATTCAAGATGGTTTCCTTTGTTTCCTAAATCTGATGATTACAGCTCTGGTGATGCTTAGATGCTATAAAGTTGATATAATAATATAATTTTCCCTAGGGCATTCTAAGGCCTTAGTTTTTGTTTTATATCAGTCATAGTGTGTATTGCATATTACATTTAAAAGCACACAATGCAGTTTAATTTACCCATTTATGGCTCCCTAAACAAAGGAAACTAATTTCAGCTCATGGGGCTGCAATGTATAACGTTTTCTAAGAACAACAGTGTTCTGACACATCTAAATTCATACTCCAAACGTAACCATGTAGCTATGAGTTGTCTCATTGTTCAGTAACTACAACAAAATTCAAGCTCTGAACGTGTGCAGTGGTTACTAGTAATTCTCATAAGCCTAATGCTGGCAAAGAAAGTAAAATTGTGGTTTAAGATTCAAAGGGACAGAGGGGCAATCATTTAGGTTCACAGGTTTTATCTAGGCTAGGGACAGACATTCAAAAAGCCTGAGCCTGAATTGATTCAATCTTTGCAGGTTAATCTAACCTGCAAAGCTTGAACCAATTTGGAGGTGGATAGACATTCCCCTTTCATTCCAGAATTGCAGGCACACGTCTGCAGTGGCTCAGGCTAGAAGCCAGGGGGGCACTAGAGCAGCCCTCCCTTCACATCCAAAGAACTGAGCTGAGGGGGGCGTGGCCAGGCCCCCTCAGAACGCTGTGATTAGGGAGGGTTCCCCCACCCCACTCCTAAGCAGCCCAGCAGGAAATGTTTATCACCCCTAACTCAGTGTTTATCACCCTATTAAGAAAACAGAGGGAAATTACCAGCTATCTGTTGATTCTACCTTTGTTCAGCATGCCACAGCTTGGAGGTAACCAGCATGTGGCCTGCTAGCTAATGCTGGGAGATGTCTGTGAGGGACAGGGGGATGCCTGCTTAGCAGAGGGTTGGGAGGGGAGGTGGGGAGCAGAAGCCAGGCACACGCCTGCAGAAACTGCGGGAGCAGCAGCCAGGAAGCAGAGGGGAGGGGCCAGCCCTGCTGTGGAGCAGAGATCCCCGTACAGCCCAGAGAGCATGCCAGGATGCTGGGGGAGTCTGATTTAATTTAAACCAGGAAGGGGTCTGGGACAGACATTGCATAAAATGGTTTGACCCAAATCAGTTAAGTCTGATACTACATTCAACCAGGTTTATCTCAAACTGGTTTATGTGCCATGAACATCTGTTCTGTTACAGGGTTAAACCAGTTTCTGATCACTTAAACTGGTTTATGTGTAATGTCTGTCCCTACAGGCAGGCTCAAAACAGTGTGAAGAAGACAACAACAAGAAAAATAAGGAATCCAGTTTTCATTTGTATTGTTCTCTGCAGTCTGGTTATCTTGGCGAAGACAGAAAAGGGCTGTTGTAACCTCACTTCTGAAAACAAAAAGTCTTGTTGGAGAGGCAGGAACATAAGTTGAGACTGTTGTGTTTGCTGTGAGTATACAGGCACAGCTGCCATGGCCTGCCATGGCTGTAACAGGAAATCAGGTTTTAGAAGTGAAAAGGCTAAGAGCAGCACAGTTCACTGTGCTAAATTATCATCATATTGGCATGACTGTGCTTCCCTTTAAATTAGTAATAGCTATACCCAGACTGGTAAACACTTCACTTCCTTTTTGTGGGGCTTATCAGCTGTCCAAAGACTGTTACATACCAATCCACCGAAAACACACACACTCTGTGAGTGGAAACAATGAGCAATTCCTAAATTTTCATACTCATCATTCATTAAAGCAAACATTTTTGCAGTTGGGATGTGCCAGAGGTCTCTGCATAACATTCACTTTTTGCTCTAATGCTTGCCTCAAAAAAGGACAATGAGACAAGGCATGCACAGGACTGATGTTGAAATGACTATCTATCAGACTGATATTTGGAATTGCTCATATTTGGAAACAGCTTTTTAATTAAAATACCATGAAATCCATAATAACAATGAGGAAAACAGATAACAGGGCTGTGTGGCACATTAAGCCTTGTTGTTGTAACCCTGATTTCCAATTTCCATTGAGTTTTAGTCCACAGGTGTGTATAAACCAAGGGAAAAAGTCATGATTAGAAGCAGAAAGGAAATAAAATGAACCCCTTCCCAACCATATGAAAGAAAAGAGAAAGAGGGACAGTTACAAGTTGTGTGGTCCACAATAACATAGCCCCTAGCAAAGCTAACTGGAATCCTGATCCAACATATACATAACACACACATGTTTAAAGGTACTCATATGCTTACATTTCATTGGGACTGCAAGCATAATGGCCTAGTGGCTACTACTGATGTCCTGGTTTGGAACAAAAAAGGAAAAAAAAAAAGTTCAGAACTTCATGGAAGTAGAAATGAAGGGGAAAATATAAATTGTTTGACTCTGCAATGCATGTTACAGGAGAGAAGGAGGAGTAGAGGGTGCAATAAAGTGTCATAGGTGTCTTCAGGCAAAGCTAGTCTACTGTAATACACACTTTGTGATGTAGCCCAGTGGCAAATGCCCAGGCAAGCCAGCCAAGCAAGTTTCATGTGCAAGTAGCTATTTTACCTAAAATTATAATGAAATTCAGTTTCAGCCTTCCACAATAGCTATATTACAGAACAGAAACAATTGTTTTACAGGGATGCATACACAGTCCCTCAAGAGGTAGTTAGACATTTATTTAGTCCACTTAAAAAAATTCCACTCATCCCTTTCTACCAGGCTGACCATGATGATATGATCATATGATATCACACATATCCACCAACCTATCCATTAATGGCTCACTAAAGACACTCAAGGGC